CTATAAATGTCAAAACAATCAATCATTTCCAATTTTCGTGTGGAGCGTCGCTGCATGCAAATTATGGCAAAATGACAAATTGTGCAAAAATTACGTGTCGAAAGAACAGCGGGAAATGGAATTTAAATAAAGGAGACATATTCTACAACCAGTAAGTTGAAACTATTTATATTTTGTGAGTATTAGAAACAAAAATAAAGAAATATTTATGTGTAAAAAACATTAATCAAAAGTCTAAAATGTGTTTGTAGTAGTGATAACTGATGATACGACGTAATTGCTTATATGTGTGCTCTCGGCGACGCCGATGCTCGTACAAAATAAGGTTGACAGCCATTCTATTGTGTATTATAGTATTCTATGTATATAGCCATTACAACTTCATCTTACTAATAGTTTGGGCTATGTCTATATCTCTGTCTATATATCTATGTCTCTGGCTATGCGGATATACTCATTCATAAGTTTATCACGTAGAGAAGCCCCGAACATAGCCCTCTCCATAGCTCACTGAGCGACCTTGAGCTTCCTTATACGGCCAGCAGTGAATGAGTACGTCTTGGATCCATAAGTCATCACTGGTAACTCGCACTGTTTGTGCAATCCTGTTTTCAAGTTTTGAGGTATACCTGACGAGAAAATGTGTTGTAATCTCCTAAACCATGGCCAACCGAGTTGGATCCGTTGATTAATCTCTCGCTCGAAGTCGGACTATTTGTCCCAGGTTCTCGACAATAACTTCGAGAGTAATGCTCGCAACAACTACTGGCATTGGTGTAACATGGACGTTACACATAACTATTGTTTTGTCCATGTTCATCTTAAGACCTATCCGTTGGTAATGTTTCTGAGTTCATTGTTCATATAGTGCTTATGTCTTCCAGCGATTCTGCTATAAGGACTACATCGTCGGCAAATCTATTGTGAGTGATGTACTCGCCATTGATGTTAATAACGTATCCTTTCCAGTCCAGTAGCTTGAAAATGTCTTCCAATGTAGCAGTGAATAGTTTCGATGATATAACGTCTACACGTATACAGGATAACGATAGAGATTTTAGGGCTACACCAAAATCTAATGAAAGGACAGTTCAATCATGAAATAAAATTATTTTTATGGATCAATTAAACTAGCAATATCTTTGTATTTCGAAATAAAATTTTACAATTTAACATATTGTATAATTAGTTATAAAAATAATTTTAGAAACAGCTTAAAAGCGATTAGTTATTTTTCTTAGCCCCATTGCTTCAGCGTTGCGGACTTAGGGATCCACGAGTAGGTGAAGTTGACAGCCATTCAGAAAATTGCAATTTGTAATTGAGTAGTGGTGAGAGGAGTCATTCTTTATCGAAGAGAGCAGCCAAGAGGCCACTGACGCTGGAACGACTGCGACTGTATATAAGCATTCCGGCGGGCTTGTCGATTTGCGACGAAAGTTGAACACCATGAATATACATTTTGTATGAAATAGTATTCATACTTCCCTCATTATACTTTTGATGTTTGCGACATGAATATATGCAATGTAATATACCACTCCATACGCATATTTGGCTAGTTAATACGGATCTGTAATATTAATCACTTCTATTACAACTCACTTGATCACTCGAATAATAATTCTAGTCTTATTTGAGTTGTTATTTTATTTATTTAATAGTAATAAAATAAATAAATAAATAAGGATAAATATATCAATGTCGATTGTAGTTAACATTGGATACGAAATCATGTCTTATAAAATAACGTTACACAGTGATGTTGCACATAACACTATAGTAGTGTTATGTGCAACATCACTGTACTATAGATGAAATTTTCCTAGTAAGTATCCACTTCGTGTGTAGGGGCGCAAATATGTTACGATACCTATAGTGTATATATTCTATAATAAAACAATTTAAGATGATGTAATCACTCATAATCACATTTTTATGCTTACATTATTAGTTTACAATATTAAAAATTACAGCTCCTCAAAAAATATGAAGTTAAAATTTTTTATTAAATTTTGAGACAAAATAACGTAACTCTCAAAAAAGTTTAATATTCTGCTACCTACCCAAGTTTCACATGATGCTTTATAATTAGTATAATTAAAATAATACATAAGACTAAACTGTGCAATTCCAAAACAAACAAAATACTGTTCATTTCCACGAATAAATCCTATACCTTTAAACGAGCAATTCTTGTATATGTATATATAATCGGAATCTCGGAAACGGCTCCAAAGATTTTCATAAAATTTAGTGTCAGGGAGTTTCGGGGGCAATAAATCGATCTAGCTAGGATTTATTTTTAGAAAATGTCCTTTTGTCCGTGTTTTCAGGCAATAAAAAAACTGCTACAATATAAGAAGGTAAATTTCGACAGACCACTTACGATCGTTATAGCTCAGCTGGGATGTCGGTCGGGCGTGATATCGGAGTTCCGTTGTTCGCGTCCTGTCTCTGGTCTAGCTTTTTTCCTTTTTTTTTAAGTTCCTTTCTTTTGTGAGAAAATCTATTATTTCAAGCCCTTTTTTTAGTAATTTTTAAAAATACGAAAATTTTAATAAAACTTATTGCACTCATGATTTTTATTCAAATAATCAGTTCAGTTTTTTCTATTCTGTCAATAAAATCAAAAAATATTATTTAAGTTTCATCAGTATGTAATTTATAAATGTAATTTCAAAAAAAAAAAAAACACCCGTCACCAGTCATCCGGGTACTTAAATTGTAATGAAAACTGTACATTGTAACAGAACAGTATAGCAAAAGAAATTAAGAAAAATTATTGTTCGGATGCATTCTTCTCTTCTTTCGCACTCGCACACGAAAAAGATAGATTTATTCATACGTCTTGTATAGAAATGCGACAGAGCGGTGTGATTGTTTGTCCCTTTCGCCGTGCCGGTTTTTTGTTTAGAAAACTACACTTTGCTAAACAACTTTGACAATTCGTAGCGATCTAAGGAGTTTACAAGTTGGTTAAAGTGAGAAAAAAGTGTTTTGTGAGCTTAAGATTGGTGAATCCTGTTCAGTTCAGTTCTTAGAACAGTTAAAATTTTTATTTAAATATGTTTAAAAATAAAGATTATTGTATAACCTAAAACTACGTTATCGTCCTTTCTCACTCGAGGCCACGTTAATCATTACTGTTTCGGACGGCAGGGACACGTCCAGTGCCCGTACAGTCACCCTGGGACAATCTCACTTCCCAACTTCATGACGTACGTTCCTTGCTTAGTGCTGGTGACGCACGTCCCACGCACTCCTGAATGCGTATCTGCGTATGTATAGTACTACCCTACTGGTACCTCGAGAGGAGAGAGAGAGAGAGAGAGAGAGAGAGAGACGAGTAGCCGGGAGGAGGCATAATTAGAACACTTTTTTCCTAGGTAGCTTCTTATTCCTTATGGATCATAAAAGATAGCTTGATCTCTGCGACAACTGTCAGTAAAATCACGCCTATGAAGTCCTGAATTTCTTAGTAGTACAGACAGTACCTGTCAATGTCATACTTTATGGGCATGCACTAATTAGGTTGGCATTCAGGACTTCATAGCCGTGATTTTACTGACAGCTGTCGCAGAGATCAAGCTATCTTTTATGAACTATAGGTTTCAGCTTCCTTTTTCCTTTGTTGTTGCCTCTTCGACGGCTGTGCTGCGACTGCTTTTTTTTTGCGCCCGAAGCAAATATGGGCAACCTTAAAAACTTCCTTATAAAATTATTATTAAAAGCTATCCCTTTCTAATATGAGTCAATACACGCTAACTACATTAATTAAGAAATTATAATGGTCTTATGAACAAAACATAGTTCGTCACTGGTAAATTGTATGTCTTGTCGCCGACACTAACTACACTAATTAGGAAATTATAATAGTCTTATGAACAAAACACAGTTCGTCACTGGTTAATTGTATGCCTTGTCGCCGACAATTATTCTATTGGTTTCTCTGTCTACGGGAGGGGAGTTGCCATAGCATTTTCCCCGCTACAGAACTGTCTGCAATTGTTTGCGAGACAAATCTGCGTACACAAAAACAATCGTCTATCACTACGAAACTCACACATTAAAACAACATACTAAAAATTTTAGACACACATAGATACATTATAATGGTATAGCTCAGTGAAGGCAACAACTCGGCTACAGACTCGGATCAGTGGCTCGACCGATCTGCATATTGTATGATGGCGAGCTGCTTATGTTGTGGTAATAAAATCTGAAACGTGCTGTTATTTTCATTTTTTTATTATCAATAAAGATATGCAGTACAAATATAACTTACTAGATATTCTGAAGGATATCGAGTAAGATATATTCGAACAAAGTGAACTTTATTTGAATGAAATCGACATCAAAAACAAACCGAGCCATCGTATCTGTAATAAATGAGGTTATAAATAAATGGCTTTATGTTTTCTTATTTGTTATTTTCCAAATATTACTGATTTTGCGATGCTAACACATTTCAGTACGGCATACGGCATAAAGACGGCATATTTGTGAACTATTAAAAAGAAATAATGATACTGGTGGAATGATATTATCCTGGGGATTATTCTTTTACTTCACTTTTCAAAATTGTCGAAATGTATTCGCGTACAATTTACTGAGCCGTTATGGTCCGGTAGCGAATATGTTTTTAGTCTTGCTGACAGCTTCACTCGATTTCTCTTTCTAACATACTAAAGTACCAATAAAGCGCGGTAGCTCTCTTTCGTTCATAAGCTCAATCTATGAAGTTTATACTATATCTGTGCTCTACCGAGATAGTACTATACTCTTTCGCTTATAATTTTATCTGTGCAGGTATTGATCGCTTTAAATTTTTAACAACATGGCGAAATTGTAATAATAATAGTTTTCACGAACTTGTTAAGAATACTTAGTAAAAAATCTTTTTGTAGTCTTTCTTAAGTAATTGCCGGAAACAAACTACAACAAATTAAAATACCACATACATAATATAGAAATTGTTTGAGTAAATTATTATTTGTTTGGATTCTTGGACATGGTTTGAGGTAATCACCTGTCGGTTAACTCGTAACTGACGATTTTTACTTTATGGAATACATTGTATATAATTTGTTAAATTAACGAATTATGAATGTTTCAGTCTTTAAATAATTTATCGAGTTACGAGTCATATCTAATAACAATAAGTTAAACGCTATAAAATCTGTATAAGTGCTTTTATTCAAAAAGTCTATCTTAAAATTTATTATTTCTCTCTTTAGATACCAATGCCGCGTCGTGCTATTGATTCGGAACCAACTTCAATGTTGCCTAAAAAGAAAACGAAGGTAATTGATGAGTGTCCCAGCCTAGATGCAAGTTTTTTCGACGATGAGGCTTTACCTCCTGGTATTGTCTTCACTGATGTCCAATTGAAGAAATGGCGTATTGGAAAACCTATAGGTAATATTTTACAGGCAAACTCATTTATTTTTCAATTATATTATTCTTAGTATTCCAGGAGGAAATCAATACAGATTAGCATTATATATGATATTGTTAGGAATGAGGGTAAAAAATAAAAGAAAATGGTAACCATTGAGTAAAAGTATCGTGGTTCTGTTCATTGTAATAATTCTTCTAATGTGGGCAAGGAAAATCGTGTAGCTGAGAGGCTGCCCTATGTCACATTGATTGTGACAGGGACATATTACACTATGGTTGAACTATATTTGCTTTATACTGAATTTATAGTGCAGTACGCTGTTTTTTTGCTAAATAGCTGTCCTCCGCTGATTATATTTTACATGGGTTTTAATTTTTAAATAATCTTAAAATCTTAAAATCATCATCAAAATCATCAAAATTTTAAAATCATCAATAATAGTAACATAGTATTTTGGAGCTTAGCAGGAATAAAAAAGACAGGCACACAAACATTTTAAAAATTGCTTTTTGCTATAAGTATGGTTGTTGCGCTGGTTTTGTCAACTTTAAGGTACATTAAAAAATAATTGCCATTATGGTGAACTAGTGTTGTTAATGTTAATTTGTAGCTTATATAATCTAGTTTTCATTTTTATAACTCATTGATGTTACAAAAGAAATCTTTAGCTCATAATAATTTTTGATGTGAAAAATATGCAAAACGCTAGGTTTTTTTGCCCAAATTTTAGATTTCGGCCTACAAGGATTTTAGTTTTTGACCACTGTATTAAAAGAGGTAGTAAAAACTTAAAAGTGTTTTTGTAAAATCAGAAAACGGCAAAACGGTTTGGGAAATCGGTGCATTTAGTTTCTTCAATCTGTGCTTATAATTTTTAAACCATAACATTATATTTTTTTCTTTTTGGAGGTGGTTTTGATATAAAATAATAACCATGATTAATCTTGTATTAATTCTTTGAATCATAATCTAATAATAAAATCTTTTAAATATAGCAATCAAATCTTCACATATATGATTATTTTGTACTTCTTCATATTTTAGTTCCACAAAATCTGTTACCATCTCATATCATCAGTACATCTCAAATCCATTTGGTGTAAAAATCACATCCAATATTTTTTTCCAGATCTTCTGTATCATTATATGATTATTATTTTATTATTATGACACAAGGCGCAATTTACTCTTACCTGTTTCTCTTTCATAGAATTCATGGATTTAGCGATTTTCAAAATTTGTTAGTTCTTACATCTCTATTTTAACTTTCTTTTTATCTTCATAAAATTTTGTCTATACTGTAGATGTAATTGCTGCAGAAGGTGTATGTCAACTGTTAACAGTTAATTTTTTTTATGGGTTATGGTTTAATTAAATGTTTTTTCTAAAGCATCTCTGTATTCTTTATTTAATAGTAGTGAAACCAATGTTTCACTAGTTTGTAGAGGTGTACTAGTCTGTTTTGTTGGAATACCAACCCACAGATTTTCTAAAGTTTTAGAGATCATGTTTGTTATCATCGGTGTTTGTAGTGATATCATCATGGTCATTTGAGTGGTTATTGTTTCATTACTGAAATCTATTATCATTTCAGGCATTGTCAGTACTGTTGTCGTTGGTAGGCTTATTTGAGTTTGGATTACAAGAACATGATATAACAATACTAAGGAATCAATATCCAAATAACTTCCTGACAAAAGCAATGTTGAAATTTTATTATCAATTAACAATTTTGATGCATCGGTAGATGAATAAATAGTTACCAGAACATCTTGAGTTAGAATACTTTTATCTTGGTCTGTGTTGCACAGACTTTCTGGAGACTTAACCTTAGTGTAGATAGACTTAACCGTAGTGATGTGGTGTGGATGACTCATAAATGGTGATGAGACGTTTTATAGATGTCTATGGAATTCATGTCAATAGTATGAACTTAATTATTAATTAGACATTTTTTTGTATAAAATCAAAATGAAAACCCTCTTTTTAATGATATAGACTAAAATTAAACCCAATTTAAGCATTAATCAACATTTATTAGGACATATGGCAAAAGTTACGAAAAAATCACATTCTATAAAAGACGCACTTCTTAAGTGTTATGAAAAATAAACAAACAGATTTATTTTTTAACAAAAAATAAAATTTCTTACTTCTTCAACTTAATTACTAAAATAATATAGGAACTACCACAGAATCAGTCTTCTAAATTCAGTCTCAGTCAGTACAGTCGCTGCAGATTGTTTTGGAACAGCCTAAGCATATAGGCTTATGACATGCAACGCATTTGTACCTTGTGCGTCGCTTCAGTCTTGCTGGACACACCTTACAAGTCTTTTTGTCATTTTCACCAACAGCTGACTCAATGCGGCTAGGTTCTGGCAGTAAATCTTCGCCAAGAATCTGTTTCATTGTCAGTCTTAGCTCTCTTGGAAGATGATCATTGTAGATTCGTCGTTGCAAATGTGGTAAAACTAATTCTCGGGTAAGATCCTGTAAGAATCGTCCTCTTGATATCTGTTGTATGTCTGATACGTTAGCCTATAAAGCACAAAGGCATTAACTCCGCTCAAGTCTAGCAATCTGAAAAATAATGCTAAAAGCCATCTGCGAGTGCGGCGGCTACAGGAATAGTTCGAACATTTTTTATCAACTTCACTCCATTATGATAACTGGTTTCTTGATAACGGGATCAATTTCGGACGTGTGATGCATGGACGAAATCAGTAAAACTGCTTTAGATTTCTTGGGAACATAAGAAACCAAGGTAAAGTCTTTTGTAAATCCATGCAATGCTGTTTCAGGTTCTCTTGTTTTGGACGCTTGAAATTCAGGTGGAATGTGACGTTTATTTTTTTTTAGAGTTCCAACATAAGTCAGACCTCTCTGTTTTAGCTGCTCCATTAGCTCATAAGAGCTAAACCAGTTGTCAGCAGTGATGTTACGATTGGTGTTCTCAAAGTCTTTACAAAGTCGCAAAACAGACTGTGTAGCACAAACTAACAAAATTTTAAGTCCGTATTTTGCTGGTTTTTTGGGCATATAAATTATGAATTTGCATCGGCCTCTAAAGGGAACAAGCATTTCATCTACGCTAAGTAAGCACCGGGTACATAAACTTTTTTGCAATTAGATATAAACTTTTCAAATATATCCAAAATTGCTGCCAGTTTGTCAGTCTCTAGTCGTTGCTGTCTGGTTTCTACATTGTCAAGCGAATGCAGTTCAAAAGTGTAAGAAATCTATACTGAGACATAACTGCACGAAATATCTCTCGGCCTGAACCATCTGTAGCAAAGATATATTTTGCATTCTCATGGTTAGATTTGAAGACAGATGAGTAAAATAATAACCCGAAGAAAGCCTTCATTTCATCTGCGTCCGTATTGCGAAGCTCAGGTTTTTCCTGATTTTTATATTTTACCCATATCTGGGCAAGTTTTTTGTTGGTATATTCAATTATTTTGTCAGTAATATCGTCATCCATAAAATGTCTCCACAAGGTTTCTAGGTTGGTGAATGCTCTAGGCTGTGATCTAGGTATGTCAACCAAGTTGTGGCTTAGTGAACGACAGTTACGCATCACTGGTTCATCGCTTGACCATTTAAAACCATTCTTACCTATGTAGTCTTGTTTATCTTTGGGATTCTGTGTGTATATTATCTTGTATTGAAGATAGACCTGAATCTTGAATCGCAACTGAACTGCGGGGTGATCTTTGTCGTTGAGATTGAGTTTCTTCATCCTCAGATTGTTCTGAAGCTGAGTCATGATCACTGTGCAAACAGAAATCTGGATCCACTTCTTCATCGTCCACATCACTGAAGTCTCGCTCCAACTCAGCCTCTATCCACTGACTTAAGGTCTTTTCATTTGTCGAAGTATTTAGAGCTACTCGCTTTCGACTGTTTCCTGAAGGTCCAGGTCGATCCATCTAAAATAATAACGTACACAGTGAGGTGACGAATAAGAGACACTTAGAAAAAAATACACTAATACTGTAGTGAGTCATAATATTTACAAAACGTACAAAGGAGGCGAGCACGAAACACGCGACCGAAACCCGAAGCGGGGACCCCATACCCCCCCCCCCCCTATTTTTTTTTTGAGAAGACTTTCTTTTCAATTTCCTTATATCATTCACTATCATAGCTTTTATTTTTTTTCTGCCAAAGTTGATTTAAAATGATTCAAAACTTACTTTAGAAATATTTATTCTTTCTTTCAATTTTCACCGATTAGTCTTTTCACGGTTTCTGGAGTCATTTTGAGTAATCTACTGCATTGAGATCTATTTAATAAAGTCCGCATTTCTGAAGCCATTTATTTATTATATTTCTTTGAAGCAGCCATCTGAAGAAAAAAATGTCTTATTGAATCTTCTTCCTAAAATGCCATGTGAAAGAAATATTTCATAAAATGGCCGTAAAAGTAAACTATAGCAGCATTCTATTTTCGGTCGACTTATTCTTTCATACAATTTTAAGTTGGCCGAAAACTAAATAATTATTTTAGAGCCAGTCCAGTTTTTGGTCACGCCAAAGTTGGTACTTTTGTTTCATCATGCTAACTATTAAAATTGCAGTATCATGGTGGCTACGCACTCTATGATTCATTATAAGTAACAAAGATGAATTATAGTATGTAACCAAATAAATGAAAGAGACAAAGTATTTAGGCTAAACTCAGGCTACTTTTCGGCCACTTAATTTATTAACTTTATCAATAAAGTATTATAATAATCAATGTCAAATAACTGTATTAGATTATTTATAAAGTGAAATATATGCACAATATTAAATAATCATAATAAATACAGCACGAAACTTTTGAATGTTTTGATGACACGTTTTGACAGCTTCTCTGCTGGGGCGCCGAACTAAACTATTTATTATAAATCGCGTTTTGTGTTTACCTGATTATTTAATGTTACAAGATATAGTGCAACTATTTACAAATGCATTAAACTTCATTTCGTACGATAACATTTATTAAAACCGTTATTAAATCAAATTTACTGCATCACCTCATGCCAAAGTCCGAAATCTAGACACGGCCGTCTTACTGGCGCATCAACCCTACCATATACATAATTCACTACCATTTTCATAATATACATTTAGTTAAAAGTTGTTATTTTGACATTACAAACACACTACATTTTTGTTTATTTGTATAGATAATGATTAATAGCATAAGCAAGTTGAACGTCTGCTCTCACATTTTATTATTTTTAACAATTAACCTCCTGAATAATTTCTAATAATACCACTCACCAGTAGGCTTTCTTTAAATATCATTGACAGTGATCAGATGTGTATAATTATTCCTGCGCTATGCAGTGGGGTGTGTAAAGGCTTTTTAATTTTCTTCACTATTTTTAGTCACCAGTTACAACCAGATAAATATCATAAGAATTATTTCATTTAGGGCTTACGCTCACAGACAGTACAGCATCGTACTGTATGTCAAAAGATTTTTTCGTGGAAGAAACATTTTTGACGAAATTTCAATGATCTTAGCACTGATATTCCTTTATTTCAACACACATAGAATTAAACTCTCTGTTTGACACCACAACATGCTGCTGCGCATCACGGCATTCCATGGAATGCTACAACACGCCACTGCATCATGTGAAACACACAGGTTACTTTATATTGTTAAAGAAATGTGAGTGCTAAGTAATTGAAACAAGGTTGAATCTAGCCATTTGCGATCCCAGCAACACGCGCGTATGCCCGGTACACAAGCGCGTCTTAACTTGTTTTGGTATGCTGGAGAATGCCACAGGATCCTTTGGCATGCCCTGGGATGCCACAGGATCCTTCGGCATGCCGAAGTATGCCTTGCCACGCCGTGCCGTGCCATCTGTGAGAGCAGGCCCTTAAAGTACATACAGAACTCAGGATCAGATGTTTACGGAAATTTCACCCATTCAGCAGTTATTACATTAAACATTATTTAATTGCGAATTAACAATAATTTTTAAAAATTTATTTACATAAAATACCAGTGATTAGATTAATCATCTTTTTAATTGCACTTTTGGACATAGGTCTTTAAAAGAAAGTAGCAGCAAGTATTACTTGAGAAGACTTTACTTACCATGAGTATGAACAAATCTGCTAGGTGAACAGCTTGGTGAGCACAGAGTCAAAATGCTCACACTGGTAACGCTGCTTCAAAACATATCAATGTTGGTGTCGGTTTAGGTTATGATTTTGAATTGATTCTTTATCATCATCCTCAGTTCATGCTCTTTATATTAGAAATAAATATCTATTCCAATTAAATTACGTAATTTTAACCTCAACAAGAAATTAGTTCAAAACTTGCAATTTCAACTGGATTAAATAATTTTATTATATGAAATTATTGCATCAAATATTAACACAAATATAACAATATCCAAATATCTTATATTTTGGTGTACACATTACCACATTGTGGGTTTATTTTATTTTATTACCTTATTAAGAAGTTGAAATATCATTGTGTCCTATAAAATGTAACAATTTGTTTGTAAAATAAGATTATTTATAGGGTCAGATAAATAAATGTCTAATTTAATATACAGGAAGAGGAAGTTTTGGTCGTATCTACTTAGCATCAAATGATATAGATAAAGAAGTCACAAAACAAAATGCAAGATATGTAGTTAAAATTGAACCACACACAAATGGACCTCTGTTTGTAGAGATACACTGCCTTATTAGAACAGCACAGGTTTCAAAAGGTAAATATTTTTTTGTATATACATGTCAATTTTTTAGATTATATAGTAATTTTTTAGAGCCGTGGTAGCTCAGATGGTTAACGCTCGATGTAAATATAACAGAACGCGAGTAAACCTGGTTCGATCCCCGCCGGCACCAATGAAATTGTTAATTGCAATTTTAAGTGCTGATTTACTTTGTGCTCGGCGGTGAAGGAAAACACGCGTTGGGGCAGCGCGGCGGACACTTGCCTTGCCCTAATAACCCTCTCAGAAATGAGGGGAGGCCTGTGCCCAGCAGTGGGACGTATATAGGCCCTAAATATCTCATGTAAATTTTTATAATATATTACACTTCAGTGAAAAGTGAATAAAGAATATTATTGATATTAAGGCCTATTTCACATAAGCGAAGTAAAGTTTGATACTAATTACTTTGAAAGATACTAATTACAAATTCAGAAAGCAACTTTGTTCATTGATGGCTTTAGAAATCTGTATAGATATACAAGAGGCCCAGGGAATTCTAGGGAACTGCTGGATTCCAATCTGGTTTTGCTACTTTTTAAATCCTCTCAGTACCTCAGGTTTCATCTTGAATGTGTTTAAGTGAGCTGAATGTGTCAATTTTATAAGAACAATAAAGACCTTGCTTATAATATGGATAATATTATTCGTTTATAACAGGAAAACCAACAGTTATTAATTAAAATTATATGGTACATATTTAAGTCACAAGGTAAGCTTATTAAAAGTTGTCACAAATAGGTAATTGGTTAGGTAAAACATAGAATATATATTATGTAATATAATTTGCATGTTGATGTTAATTAGATTTAAAATATGTATTCTATATTTTATGATTATAAACAGAAATTTGGCCATCTAATTTAGAAATTTTTAAAATTACATAGAAACAATACATACTGCTTATATCCAACTTTCACAAATAACGTGAAATTTCACCTCAATTTTATATACTTATTTAATATTTATAACTCACTAGTCTATAACTAGAAAAAATTCTAATAGTACTAATAATATAAATCTCAGTGCTTGGCAGCTTACTTGTTATAGTGAAAATAGGTTAAAACACTTGTAATTGCCAGTTGTTGTTAATTGACAATTTGTTACTTGTAACTTTACATGACTATGGTGAAATAGGCCCTTAATATTTTATATTTTTTCAGTGAAAGCCTGGCGTCAACAAAATAGACTAAAACGAATTGGTATGCCACTTTATATTGCAAGTGGATCATTCACAGATGAAAACAGTGACACTAAATATAGATTTCTAGTTTTACCCAGATATGATATTGATCTACAAAAAGTTATCGCCAGGACTAAAACCTTAGACTTGAAGAATGTTCTAGTTCTTGCCTTACAAATATTAGATGTGTTAGAATATTTACACAATCAAGGTTATACACATTCTGATATTAAAAGTTCCAATTTAATGCTTGGTTTTGATGTAACAAAATTAGAGAAAGCATCAGTGTCAAGACCGGCACAATCATTTCAAAAGGAAGCAAAACAAGTTGTTCTTGTACCTGGAAAGCATAGAAAAGCCAAAACAGGAAGGTCTAAAACATCAAACTATTATGATGATGAAGATTTTATTGTAAGAGAGAAAACTTCCACTTGTGATGAGACCTGTGATGGTAATAAAAGACTGGCTAATGTGAAGAAAAAACTGAGAAGGATTCTGTCTGATAGAGATAACAGAACCCTACACAGACATCATGCATTTAATTTGAGACAGTTGTCTAATTACGTAAACTATGAGGACTTAAGTTCTGTCTGCTCCGACAGATCATATCAAAAACTTTTAGATGATTTTGGTAGTAAATCTCTAATTTATGTGGCTGAAAAGTTACAAGAAGATGAAGGAACTGAACCTGAGCTCAAAAATATAGAAAATAATTTGGATCAACTACACAAAGAAGCAATTTTGTCACAATCTAATGGTCAAATATTTTTATTAGATTATGGTTTGGCATCTAAATTCTTAGATTCAAATGGTAATCACAAAGATTTTGGTATGGATGCTAGGAAAGCTCACGATGGAACTCTAGAATATAGTTCAAGAGATTCCCATATTGGAGCACATTCTAGAAGGTCTGACTTAGAGACCCTTGGTTACAATATGCTCGATTGGTTAACGGGAACTCTACCTTGGAAGACTACAGAAGTTCTTGCTGAACCAGATTTAGTGCATGCTTTGAAGAAAAACTTCATGAGTGACATCAAATCACTACTGAAAACATGTTTTAAGACTGAATTTTACCCACAGTTTATGGAAAAATATCTGCAATATATTACAAGTTTAGATTTCACCGAGAAGCCAGATTATGATTATTGCAGAAATGTGTTTAGAAGTGAATTGATTAAAAATGGTTATGTTTTTGATAAAGAAATGAGCCTTAACTTTGCTGAACCTCCCTTATCACCAATGGGTCGTAATAAGTTGTGTTATTCAAAGAGGTTTGGTAGGAAAAACACTCCTGCAGATTTTCTGGCAAGGAATGGTATAAAGGAAACATATGAGAGGGAGAATGTTTGTTCCTTAGAAAATGATCTTAAACTAGAATTGCTAAAACGGACATTAAATACATCAAGCGACGGTGTTCGCAAACCTTGTACTTCGCGCAACTTTTTCATATCAGATGCAGATTTAGTTGCACGATTAAAGAAATCCTTAATGCCTCATGATGTTCTGGGAAAAAAATTATCACCCAAGAACTTACGATCAAAGAAAAATATTACTAAACGTAAAGGAACAAAACGACACAGGAATAGCCTTGGCAAGTTTGGTAACTTCATGGGCTCAGCCAGACAGTTTACATGGGCTGAAATATTAGCTGGCAACCCTGAAGACATTATTAGAAAAGAGAGGAATACTGTTAATAACGATGAAGGAGATGAAGATGATGATACAACTTGCAAGTATAGAATTAGAAAACTTTCTAATGCATCACATGCAACTGATGATAGTGATATCCAATCACCATTAATGCAAAAAGATTACTTGCAAAGTATGAACCCAACTTATGCTATGAAGGAAGTTGTAGCAAATTTTAAGAAAAAGATTTCTGGGAAACCATTAAAAGAACCTGAGCAATGCCCACCTGACTTAGAAGGTTATACACCAGCAATGATAAGATTATATAAATTAAAAGAAAAACGGGAAGCAAAAGAAAAACTCGATGCATTGAAACAAAATTCTGAAAACAAAGAAATTGAAAGGAGACCAAGATGTACCAGATCAGTGGCCAAAAAGATTGAGGAGAAAAAAAAGCCTACACTAAGGACAACAAAAAAGAAAGTGTCTGTCGTTGATTGTGATAAGAAAATTTCAGATACTGATTCTGATACAGATCTTCCAAAAAGCAGTGATAAAATAAAACCTCGTAAAACAAGAAGTATTGCAAGTAAGAAAGAAGTAAAAGTTGAGAGTAAGCAGTCGCCAGCTAAGACTAGTAAGTGTTCAATTCAATTTTTTTGCACTTTACTTCATCAAAACTAAAACAACTGTTAAATATTTTTCCCGATTTAGCTAGTTCATTTATTCTACTAGTCATTTAGTTCACTAGTGAAGAAAGAATAGGAAAATTACCAGTGTGCTCATTTTCCATGACAGCATAGGTAAACACTTGTCCAGGATCTGGCCAGTAACAAATATAATATGTTTTATTTCAACTTCATTGTCATTCTGTGAACCTTTTAAAGTCCTCTCGTATGTTCAGATCTAAATTACTAATCATATGATTATATTTTATGTAAGGTTCAACTGTTATTATCTATATAGTCCATACGGACAAAGAATGGAACTAAAAATGGCGATTCATCAAGCCCCCATACCACCAACATGCACAGTATCAATAGTGAAAACCTAATAACGGTATAACGTTATAATATTCGACTAATTGGAAACTTTTATTAATAGAAAATATTTTAAAATTGGTAACTACCCAATTAGGTACATTAATTTTAAAATAGCATTTATAACTAGTTACCCGCTCTATATTCGCCTTGGTGGGATCTATTAATATGGCGTTATTTAGTCTTAAGATCATCATTAAAGACCATTTATTTTATGTTTTCAGTATTTCTTTTTAATAAAGTTTAATTCCAAAGAACAGCACGGGCAGACAGTCAAATGTAAAGTTTAAAACTGAACTTATAGTATGTACGAAAAACGCATATCGCATTGAATTTTTTGCGGTATTTACTGGTGGGTGTGAGTATAGATAGAGATACTGTGCAAGCTAGAGGTGATAAGAGGCGACACCATTTTCAATCCCTTTCTTTAACCGCATGGATAGTACATCAACAAAACGAAATAAACCAGAAGTCCATTTATATTTAGAAACAATTATATTACAGAAACAAGAAACACAACTGTGGTATTAAACAGAAGGAGATTAAGAAGCAGCAAACGCAAAAAGCAATAGAATGAAACTTACAAAATGTGATTAGTGAGAGCTGGTTAAGTATGTGAATCAATTATTTTCTTCGGTATGATGATTTTTTATTTTTTAGTATAAGTTTAATCAATCATAAAATTGTCTGCGAAAAGTCTAAGGTTATCTATGAAATATTGTAAGTATATGCAATGTGTATATATATATATATATATATATATATATGCAACAATGGGTGGACTTCATTTAAAATTATAAGGTAATAGAATAAACTTCGATAAACAATACCAACTAGATAACAGGTCATGTATAAAATCACAGCTAAGTGCTGTCCGCCTTAATATATACTTAAACAGCTACATTTGTTTACTAAAGTACTGAGACAAAAAATTAAAACAGTTTTAAGTTCAACCTAATTACAAGCATGGCATCTAGTAATAAAGTCACAAATCTTACAGTCGTTAGCCACAAAAAAGGAGCTTAGCATTACTCCTGTCACTTGGAAATGAAACAACATAGGTTAAATAACATTTAGTGTTAAATCAACCTTAAGAATTAACAAATAAAGTACTTTTTCCCGTTATTGCCTTGCGAGCTACGTCGTTTTGTTTCATTTCTGAGTTCTTCGAATATTGCTCCAGTAGCTATGGAGTCGCGTTGAACACTAAAATAATTTATAATATGATCGTAATTTTAGATAAATAGTAGTTTAACTAAACAACTTATTTTTATGTTTTGGGCATTTATGTTTGTTGGTATACATACTTTTCACACTAGCTATTGAATATAATATAGTATGTAGTATATCAATTGCATTTAATTAACTTCAATATATTATATCTAGTTTAGTGTTTGTATGTATATGTATTTGTAATATGTGTATGTATATTATATATAAATATGTGAATATTCTTTTTTATCACACCATTTTACCCTACCCCTGTTACCGTTGTGTAATCCTATCCATTCACTGGAAGAAATTTACGTCAGCAATAAGACCGCCCATTGCATATTTCTTCGTGTTGGTTTGCAATAAAGAATAATAAATGAATAAAAATACTTATTATTTTATGTTTTTGTGTATAATATGATTATTTAATTTATCAGTGTTTTATGTGTTGTACACAAAAAGTAATAAACTGCAAGTACGCTTTTTGTTTTTTAAATGTATATAATGTTGGCATCTGGTAAAGGTATCTTAGGTACATAGCTGGATGTCACAAATAAAAATATCACTAAATTCAACACCTTTATATTTGTCTTTACAATCTTTATATTACAAGTACATTTCTCAGTGATCCGAACTTATAACCGAATTCTTAGCAGGCTTATAAAAGTCATCTCTTCTTTCTCTGGCGACAATCGAGAGCCATTCTGCACACTTAAACAGATACCTAGGAAAGCTAAAATAAAAAAGCTAAGTGTCTAAATAAATTACACTAACAGAGGAAGAAGTAACAATTACCATTACGTAAAGTTTTGGTTACAAATTATTAAATAATATTGTAATACGAATCTACTCCATGCATCTACTGCTCTGTTTCATAATTGTTTACCGCGTGTATTGGCCAACCTTGGCAAAACGTTTGTAGGGGAGGTTTAAAATCGGTAATTTTGTTTCAAATATGATATTATTTGTTAGTTTAGATCTTAAAATATAACATATTATACATGTACTTATCATAAGTAAACCGGCCGTTAAATTGCTTTTGTCTGACATTATTCTTGCAAATTTTAAATATACATTGCGGCATTGTGAAACGACTTTACATTGGCTGTGTTTCAAGTGAACTAAACAAAATAAGAGCTCACGTCTCATGTGGGCTCTTATTTACTGAGACGTATTTTTGCGCCGATCGATATCTAGTTGGTATTGTTGATTGAAGAGAATAAAAAATATAATTTTCTGAATAATATGTGGTACATAACATATATGAAAAGTGGTAATAAGTTCTATAACTAAAAAGTTATTGACAAAATAAATACTTTGAATGAGTAAGTATATTCTCAAAATATCTTTTTAAATCGTATTCTAACCAAACTATTCATAAAAGATTTTTAAACCCATTCTATATACCACACACACACACACACACACACACACACGCACGCACGCACGCACGCACACACACACACACACACACACACACACGCACGCACGCACGCACGCACACACACACACACACACACACACACACACACGCACGCACGCACATACATATATATAATGGGTTTTTAAATTACTATAAAGGTATATCAATATCATAGCTTTGTCCAAACTATAACATTGAAATACCTTTAAAAAATTGCAAATACAGAGAGAATATGATACCTATATGAATTTCTGTTGTTCGCTTTCTGTATATTTTATTATTATAAAATATCACACTTATTAATGATTAAATTATTAATGATTAACTAAATAAACATATGTTTTGGAAATTATTGCTAGTATGAGATCATATTGTTAGTCAAAACAAACTCATGAACTCTGACTGTAGTGTATGCTTGAATGCCTTTACTTTGAAATAGACTGAAAACAATTTAAATACAGTGATAAGCCCAATATTTTTTTCTACAACTTCTACAATCTCTTATTTTCATGTTGATTTTCTTGAGGAAATTAAAATTTCCTTTCAATTTAAGCTTTTTTTGTTATTTAATATTTGAGGTACATGTTTGCAAAGTTTATTGTAACAAACAAATAAATAGAGTTAGCAATCAGTAAATTTAAGATTTTGGCCGATTTCATATTGAACATGGGTCATAAAGCTATCTGTAATTCAATGCCTTGCATTTAGTGAAATAATTTTATAGATCGATAGTTTATATCTTAATTGTATTACTGTCGGTTAACTTTTTCCTACTTTACTGTAATTTTTATTGAAAAATAAAGCAATTGTTTTGAACTTTGTTTTTTTAATTGCTCATCTTAATTTGTTACTTGCAGTTTAAGGTTTTAAGTTATAATAATATACAGTATTCACTGTAGTAAAAATATCCTACAGTCCTACTTTCTGAGGTATAGTGCCGAGAATGCTGTGCTTCCTCGGTGAATTGCAATACTTATCCTTTGAGGAAAAAGACCAAACCAGCCCTCTTATAGCCCAATGGGCGACAACCAGTTACGGATATAATTTTTTAGGAATATATTCGCACTCTAACCCAACGAGCCGATAGTCATTTTTTTTTATAAAAGAATATTAACAATGCTAACATTACTAATATTCCCCTTAACCACTCGTGGTAAGCTTAAATTGCTTGTGTTACGAGTGGTTTACGCCAGTAGTCGAATGGTGGATTCGAACCCACGACCTTTTTGAGTTCGCGGTCCGCGCTCTGCCATTAGGCTACTATCGCTTAATTTTGTAAATGATATATCTATTTTTTATACAGGTTTGGTGGACTAAGTTATTTTCCCATTTCGAGATACTAGGAGATACTATTGTGTCTTGTATAGACTATATTGTAGGTAGGTAGTTAAGAATATTGCTCACAGACTACTATGTTATTGCAGTTTATAAAACGTCAACTATTTACCTTCAATAGAGTTAGCAATCAGTATATATCATATCTTCAAAGTAATTTAGTACATATAAACTATGAAAGTGCTAAGATAAGGGGGAGAGTGATTTAGTTTTTGTCATCATCATCATTCATCATCATTACAGCCCTTCACAAGTCCACTGCTGAACATAGGCCTCCTCCAAGTAATGCCACAAAGCATTAGTTTTTGTAAGGTACACGAAACATCATTTGGTAATGCCACAAAGCACGGTCCTGAGCCACCTGCATCCATCGACTTCCTGCATGTCCTACCAGGTCGTCACTCCATCTAGTGGGTGGTCGCTCTACACTACGCCTACCGGTACGAGGCTGCCACTCGAGAACCTTTCTTCCCCATCGGTTCTTCGAGCTGTATGGCCGGCCCATTGCACTTCAGCTTACTAATCCGTTGGGCTATGTCAGTCACTCTGGTTCTACTGCGGATATGCTCATTTCTGAGTTTATCACGCAGAGAAACTCCGAGCATAGCCCTCTCCATAGCTTGCTGAGGGACCTTGGGCGTCCTCATACGGCCAGCAGTGCAGAACCACGTCTCAGATCCGTAAGTCATCATTGGCAATATGCACTGATTGTACAATCTAGTTTTCAGAGTTTGAGGTATGCCTGACGAGATGATGTGTCGTAATTTCCCGAACGCTGCCCAGCCGAGTTGAAGTATCGGTCGAAGTTGGACTTACCTAGTCGGACTATTTGTCCCAGGTAAAAGTACTCGTCAACAACTTCGAGCATAGTGCTCCCAACAACTACCGGAATAGGTGTAACATGGACATTAAACATGATCTTTGTTTTGTCCATGTTCATCTTAAGACCTATTCGTTGTGAGACACCATTGAGGTCATTGAGCATAGTGCTTAGGTCCTCCAGCGATCCTACCATAAGGACTATATTGAAGGTGAGTGATGTACTCGCCATTGATGTTAATATCGTATCCTTTCTAGTCCAGCAGCTTGAAAACGTCTTCCAATGCAGCGGTGAAGAGTTTCGGGTATATAACGTCACCCTGTCTTACACCTCTCTGCAGTTGGATAGGTTTCGAACTCTGGTTCTGTACTCGGATAGCCATCGCAGCTCTACTGTACAAACACTTCATCACTTAGATATACCGACTGTCAACTTGGCACCGCTGCAGGGACTGTAGCACCGCCCATATTTCGACGGAATGAAAGGCTTTCTCATAGTCCACATACGCCAGGCAAAGTGGCAGATTGTACTCTTCGGTCTTCTGTACAATCTGCCGCAGGGTATGTATGTGGTCTATAGTACTGAAGCCTTTTCGGAAACCGACTTGTTCGGGAGGCTGGAAGTCGTCGAGTCTGCGTGCGAGACGATTCGTAATTACTCTCGAAAACAGCAAGTAGACGCTGCTCAGTAGGGAGATCGATCTGTAGTTCATCAAGAGAGCGTTGTCGCCTTTCTCAAAGAACAAGATCACCGCACTTCTGCGCCACGCCTCCGGAGTAGTG